GCCAAAAGAAATAAAAGTTATGAGGACATGATAGCTGAAAAGAAGGAGTGAAAGAAACAACACCAGCGGTCACATGAGCGAGTGAACATGCTCGCCAAGAAAGGAAGCGATAAGACCTGCTTCCTCAGAAACCATCCGCAACAAAGAGTGAGAATTGTTCCAGAAGAGGGACAGGAAGCCGCTCTACTACCTCTTCACCTGTGAGCCGAGTAGATTTATCTTTCAAACACGACACTGATGGGATTTAAGACAGATAAAACCAAAGAGACCTTAGAGAGAGACTCAATTCAAAGCACTGTTCTGGGCCAATCAGTTATTCAGGAGAAATACATAGCTCAATAAAGAAAGAATCTTACTACCTAGAAAAATAAAATCTGCATAGTTTAATCATAGCAAAATTAAGCCACTTAGAAAAGTAAAAAAGGCAGAATATTTTTACAGTACCTGCTCTCTAGGGGATGAGAGACTTGTCAATAAAATGCATCTGAAGATATGACAAGAAAAATTTCTAATAATTTGAGCAAATTTCAAGACTTGTCTTCTTCAAAAATTTCCATAAAGAAAATTAACTAAAAATGTGAGAAAAAATAGCATTTAATCTGTAAAATCTTTAAACTAATGTCGGGGCTGGGGATTTAGCTCAGCAGCAAAAGCGCCTGCCTGGCAAGCGCAAGGTCGTGAGTTCAGTTCCCGGTACCGGAGAAAAACAAAACAAACAAACAAAAAAATCTTTAAACTATTCAATAAAAAAATCCATGAAATGCCCAACAAACTCACAAAGTGGAAAATACACATGGCTAATAACGGGAAGAAAACATTGCTTTAGCAGCATCACGCAAACAGAAATTAAAATAACCACTTTAAGCTATCACATTAGCCAAAACTCTAACGATGGAAATATATAATGTTGCTGGCCAGAGTGCAAATTTCAAAACCTTCCTGGAAAGAAATTTGACCATACCTATTAGGAAGACTTACAAATATTAAAAATAGAAATTACTAGTACATACTTTGAAGTGTTTTGAGGAAACAGCCAGAAATGTGAACAAAGATTTCTAATGTGCTCACTATAGTAGTACCTCAGCAGAGAAACCAGCTAGGTGTGTGGCCCACACCTGTAACTCCAGCACTGGAGTCTGAGGCAGGAGGATTGCAAGTCTGAGCACAGCCTGGCAACCTTGTCTCAAACACACAAGCAGAGATAAATGCCAGGGCTGGGGATTTAGCTCAGTGGCTATTTAGTTTGCCTGCCTGGCAAGCATGAGATTGTGAGTTCAATTCTGGTACCAAAGAAAAAGAAAGGAAGGAAGGAAGGAAGGAAGGAAGGAAGGAAGGAAGGAAGGAAGGAA